AACAATGCATTGAACTGGCCTAATTCTTGGTTTCTTTTTTATAAAATGAGGGCGACAGTCCCCAGTGTATAGGATTGTTGTAAAGATTAAATTGTCTAGTGCACATAATGGGTTTAGCACAATGACTACCCAAACTCATAAGAAACTCATTAAATAATTATTATCATTAATAATTATAGTGTCGGGGCGCCTGGGTGGTTCAGTGGGTTAAGGTCTCTGCCTTCGGCTCGGGTCATGATCCCAGGGTCCTGGGATCGAGCCCCACATCGGGCTCTCTGCTCAGCAGGGAGCCTGCTTCCTCCTCTCTCTCTGCCTGCCTCTCTGCTTACTTGTGATCTCTGTCTGTCAAATAAATAAGTAAAATCTTTGGAAAAAGAAATTAAAAAAAAATTGTAGTGTCTCTAATCATCTCTAGAATTCTGAATTTAGAAGGAGTACAGCATAACAGGTACATGTAGATGTAGATGTCTACATCTCTTAAATAGAGGAGAGTAGTATTTCTCTCACAGGATCATCGCGAGAACAAAATGAGAGAGCATATATAAAACATTTGCATCACGACTGCCCTATATTAGGTGCTGAGTAAAAGGGAGATGTAATACTCAAACATCTTGTCTCCTGGGCCACTCATCCTATTGTAGGAGAACTGGGTTAGGGCTGATGAGATTTGAAGTAATCCAAGGACATGGAAAAGACCTAAATCTTGTACCAGTTTTTATTCGTCCTTAAGTATCCTAAGGAAGTTACTTTTTATCTTTACTCTAATCTCCTTCCTCTTTGGGGAACTTCCTTTACTCCCTCCTGTCTTGAGGATGGATAGAGTTGGTTGGGACTGGGCAGAGATGAAGGGAGTAATTGACAGAGGTGAGGAGTCTTGTTCGTTAGGGGTCTGACAGCAGTATAATAGGAAAGAAGGTGTCTTAGTCTGTTCGGGCTGCTTTAACAGACTACCATAGACTAGGTGGCTTATAGAGAATAAGTTTATTTTTCCCAGTGGAGGCTGAAGTCTAACATCAAGGCGCCAGCAGATTCAGTGTCTGGTGAGAGCCCATTTCGGGTTGATAGATAGCTGTCTGCTCGCTGTACCCTCACATGGCAGAGGGGTTGAGGGATCTCTCTCAGGCCTGTTTATGTGGGCACTAATCCCATTCATGAAGGTTCCATCTTAATAACCTCACATATTTGAAACATATGTATTTGGAAGAGGGTTGGGGGAGGAAGGACACAAATACTCAGTCTATGGTAGAAAGGGATTTTTTTTTTCTTTAACAGATGCAAGCATGACCCAAATTACAATGAAATAAATATGCTAAGGTTACTGAGTTATATGCCTGGATAGTTGAATTCACTTCTATAAAATCAGATGACTAGAGTTAACATTCTCATGTCTAAGTATTCACTTAAACATAGTATTGAAAAGATAAAACCACAAAAATGTGCTTTTCTTGGTCAAAATTATCCCAAAGCATACACAATGTGCATATACAATTGGAGGATATTTAATGAATCTGGGTTGAGATATTTCATGAGCTTTCCATTGAATCACTTTCATTTTCAATCAAGACCAGACATGGGTATGCATTTATGTCTGTATGGTTAGAGAGGTGAACAAATTGTTGTCTTCTGCTTCTGCAGAAGAAGACAATACTTGTCCTGCCATCCCCCAACACAGGCATCAGTCACCGTATCTTCTGCCATGTGACTCTGGATTTTATATCAGGCTCTCTTCCAGGAGACATCTGGTGGCATATTGTCCACTCTGGCTTTGAACGTTTTATTCTTGAAGCATTAATTCTTTAGGAACTAGTCATCCTCACCTATGTAGCAGAGGGAATGGTTAGGAATAAAGATTGCTAAGAATCCAGGACTTGGGCTCTTCTGATCTAGCCCTGACCCTAACTAGCTGAGCAAGTCCCAGCCCATGGGGAAGTGCCTTCTCTTAAGAGGAGTTCAATCGATGGTTTTGCATCCCCTTTTGACATCACGTTATTTATCTGTAAACAGAAGAGGTTGGAAAAGATGATCTCGGAGGACCTTCCAAGCTCTAAATTCTGTGATTATATTCTAAATGTTAGGACACCATGGCACTTCCTGGCATCAGCATTAATGAAATTACCCATCATTTATCTTATACAGAGAAAGCACACACCAAGAGTTACAGACCAGCCAAGCCTGAAAATGAGAGTGTGTGGATTTTTTTCCTGCCCACAGCTATCCAGTGATGCTTGTGATAAGTGTATATGTCTTCTTAAAAAAAAAAAAAAAGAAAGAAAAAAAAATCCCAGCTGCCCTGGGGTGACCTGACCTGCCTTTTTGTTTGGACTTGTATGTAAACATGTTCTACTTCAACGTTGTGCTCTATCTGTTTGAGACTTGGAATGTAGCTAAAAATGAAAGTTTGTGCTTAGTACCTGTTGGTAAGAGATTATTTTATCAAAAAAAATAATGTCCTTATATCTCCTTATCTCTTATTTACTTCTTCACATAGACCTTGCTCCATACTTCCCAGAGAAGGTTCACATGAGGTTACCAGGTACGATCTCACTCAGATTGTATTTCCTCCATCCTCGAGATGCCCATAAAGTTTCCGTCTTTATCTTTCTTCATATCATAGAGGACGAGGTGTCCTGCCAAGACTAACCCTCTGCAAATCCAACATGAGACCTCATTTCCTGTTAACAGAGTGAGGATCTTGATCCCTCTTCTGCTTCCTCCTCCTCTTTAAAAATCTTACATCTAATTGTTAATGACCCTCCCAGCCTCCTTCTCAAGACTCAACCCAACAGTGCTCTTCCATGAAAGGCCAAAGTAGACTGTAAGGATTTCTCAAGTTGTGTCTCACTTCACGTAACTAAACCATTAAGGTTGTTTTATTTTACCCTGCTTTGTGTAACTGTAACCTCAGTCTTTCTGTGCCTTCCTCAAAATTAGATCATAGAAATGGAGAGATTTCTTTCTTGTTTGGCCATTCCTGTAAATCTCATTTCCAGATTTGCTCCCAGTTAGGGTAAAGGTTAAGTGGAGTGGGAAAACAAGAGGAAGGGAGGGGACATCATGCTTTGTGGAGGCAGTCCACTCAGACGTTTTCCAGCTCTAATCGAATGCCCTTCTCGATCGATCTCATCACCTTGCCATCCCACTTTCTTCATTCAGGAGCATGCGCTCTTTCGGGTGGCCTCTGCCATCTTGTCTGCCCAGTGGCCTCTCCAGCAGGTGGCATGTGCAGTGAGTCTCCATGATGGCATTAGCTCTCCAGGGCGGCTTTCCACACTCACCCTTCCCCCTGTTGTCGGCGGGAAAACTTCCTCTGACCATCTGCTACTGAATTAGTCAAAGTTTATTAATTTATCCACAGGATTTCTCCCCCAAAGCTGCCCAGTTGGTCCTATTGTTCTTTGTATGCCCGGTTTTCTCATTTCTTAGGGAAGTGTTATTCTTTTGTATTTTATTCTCCTAACTTGAACATGGATCCCCGATATTTACTACTATAAAAACTCTTCCGTATATTCCTCTCCTAATTTAGAGTTGTACAGTCGTAGTCTAGAGACCAGGTAACAAAGAGAATTCTAGTAGGGAGACTGCAGAGCCAAAGAGCATGATGTCAGAACTGGGGTCAATGTGTCTCTGGTTTGCTTTTGTGACCTGGCCAAGTTGCAGCCCTTCTCTGCCTCAGTTTCCTTATCTATAATGTGAATAAAAGCATTGTGCTAGTCTGGAGTTCTGTGAGAATCACTAGAGATAATTTATGGAGGAATTCTCTAGGAAGGTAATTTGTCATACAAACCTACTGGCATTTCTGTTAAGTTTATTCTGTTAAGCAGCATCATAATATTCCTTTTTTTTTTTTTTAAGATTTATGTATTAGAGAGAGAGCACGAGTGGAGGTAGGGGCAGAGGGGTAGGGGGAGAAGCAGACTCCCTGCTGAGCAGGGAGCCCAATGTGGGGCTCAATCCCAGGACCCCAGGATCATGACCTGAACTGAAGGCAGACACTTAACCACTGGGCCACCCAGGCATAACCCCACATCATAACATTCCAAAAACCGCACCTGCACCTGTGACTCATAGTGAGGACTTCCCACCATAGTGTGGAAACAGGTCTAAGGCATGTCCTCAATCTGACTGTCAGTATTTTGAGGATTTTTCCCTCGAGGCTGCCTGAGGGGGAGAGGCACTGTGGTCCCCCCACATTCTTTGGTTGGCAGAGCTTGTACCCCAGTTTGTTAGCTGCTGCTGTAGTCTCTAGCTTGTGTGATGCTTCTGGCTGAAGAGAACTAGTGCCTAGAAGTGATTTAGACGGGGGTCCAGGCTGCCAAGCCACATGTCGGGCTTCTGTGCACTTTGTAGTACGTGATTTCCTGAAGATTCTGGGTAAAATTACTCATCAGTCAGAGCCTCCTTGCAAACAGGCCTTGACAGTCTCCTTTGTCGTGCTTTTTCTGCCAGAAGACACCATAGCAAATTGGTCCTTCACTGCACACCTCTGTGTTGTTTTGCAGACCAGCAGACTAGCAACTCCCAGAGCTAGCGGTAATTTCTAGGGGACTTATCACCACAGTCGAACATGGAACATATAAGCATAAAGTCTCTCTGTGCCTGCAAATGCAAACCCTTGTTTCAAGTGATGTGACCACTTCCTTTTGCTTCCAAACCCACTTTCCATGGTCCCTGCCACAGAAAATGGCAGAATCAGGCTAGGTTAGCATGCTTGCCAAAGATTTAGGTAGGAGATATTACACAAATGTCTAAATTATTGCAGCTTGGGACTCTGAGATTTCAAAAACATACTTTCACACACTTCATTATTGTTACTATTTGTGACTATTTGATAAGCTCCAGAAACTTGTTGTGCCATAGAAAATAAATCATTCCTAATGGCTGGGGGTTTTTCTTCTTCTTCTTCCTTTTTTTTTTCTTTCTAAACTTGAACTTGTCCTGAAACAGTCGTCCATCATCACCATACTTTTCTCTGTTTCATACATTTTTTTCCTCTGCCCTAGGATGGTCGTCTGCGGATGAATGACCAGCTGATTGCCGTTAACGGGGAATCTCTTTTGGGAAAGTCCAACCACGAAGCTATGGAGACACTGAGGCGATCGATGTCCATGGAAGGAAACATTCGAGGGATGATCCAGTTGGTGATTCTGCGGAGACCAGAGAGACCACTGGAGGTGACACAAATCTTTGGTTCCCTCAGCAAATTGCCCAAATGGCCACCTAAAATATGCGGAGTTCCATAACTTAGTATCATACTGATCCTGAAACTGGGAAAATATGCCCCAGAAGAGCTCTGATGGATTTAGGTGGCAAACACGTGGTATATTATAGGTATAACTAGAAGGTATAAATATGTACATATCAAGTAAGTAATTTATCAAATCTAACAGGTCCTTATTTTCTAGTTTTTTGTCCCCCCAGAAATTTCTAGACTTTGGACTTCATTCATATAGTAAACTATTAAACTATATAGCATCTTTAAATACTTTTTTGATTGATGTGCTTATAGAGTCCATACTTTAGAAAGTTCTTAATCAGAGGTATACAGTGCTTAGTGTAAAGACTGTTATAGTGCAGTGTGTTTTCCCCCACAATGTGCACGTAGATAATAAAGACCTGGAACTTAACTAATTTAAAACTTGATTTATTAAGCAAGCTCCTTGCTTCATGTTATTAAATAAATGTTTTTAATTAAATAAGTATTTTTGCAGTATTTTATCATGATTTTTATGGATTTTTTTAACGCAAGAAATATTTCTGCCTACACATGAAGTGTAAGCATAAAGTATTCTTGATTGCTGATATCCCTAAACATTTCAGTTATATACAATTATATTTATATTACACAATTATAGTATTAAATTATAAAGTGTATTGATATATTTATAATATTGTAAAATATTCCTAAAATGTTATTTTCTTTTATATATGAAAAATAATTATTAAATGCTCTTAAAAATATTTTAAGAAGGGGTGCCTGGGTGGCTCAATGGGTTAAGCCTCTGCCTTCAGCTCAGATCAGGATCCGAGTGTCCTGGGATCGAGTCCCGCATAGGGCTCGCTGCTTGGCAGGGAGCCTGCTTCTCCCTTTCTCTCTGTCTGCCTCTCTGCCTACTTGTGATCTCTCTCTGTCAAATAAATAAAATCTTTAAAAAGATTATTTTAAGAAAAAGTAAGAAGAAAACGGTTGATCACAGTTTAGAGTTAAGAAAAACGTGAGCGCATCGCACAGATATTCTCTGAGGACAAGTAATGTTTGTGTAATACAATAATATGCAGAGTTAACATAGAATACTGTTAACAAAACACTAATATAAAATATTAGTTTTAATAATATGTTCAACTCAAAATTTAAAAAGGATTTTTTTTTTTTTAAGATTTTATTTATTTATTTGACAGACAGAGATCACAAGTAAGCAGAGAGACGGGCAGAGAGAGAGGAGGAAGCAGGCTCCCCGCTGAGCAGAGAGCCCGATGCGGGGCTCAAGACCAGGACCCTGGGATCAGGGCCCAAGCCGAAGGCAGAGGCTTTAACCCACTGAGCCACTCAGGCATCCCAAAAAAAGGACTTTTCAAATTGAGTTTCAACTACCTTCTACTATTTTTCACAGTAGTTAAAAGCTTAGGCTCTAAAGTTTTGGATTACTTGAGTGAAACTCCCAGATTGTCCATTTTCTGGCTATGTGAAGACACACCTAGCTGAGTGCTCGGAACTTGCTGATGACAGATACTGTTGTCTATTTTATCCCTTACTGTATCCTCATTTCCCAGCACACAGTAGACACTTAGTAAATATTGTCGAATGAATGAATAAAAGCTGCCTCTGAGACCTCCTTTATCTGAGAGGGTCAGCTGAAGTAGTAAAATTATAAACTAGATCTCACTTTGTTATATTATCAGCTATTGGAAGAGAGTAACTGTACCTTTTTACTCTTCTGTACATAACCTTGTAAATGTTAAATAAATGTAAATTGGCCAATTACTGGAGACTATATATAATGAGCTAACTCGTTTTCAACATTTGTGTCTGCTTAAGTGACAGAGAGGCTTCCATGAATATTTAATGGATTTTACTTATGTACATAGTTATAAAACCCTTATCTAATGCTCCCATCCATGGTGGAATTGGCTCCTTTCTGGTTTAATTTAATTCCTACCCTAGAGCCTTGGGATTCATGGTACCCCGTTGGTGTGAAGGATGTGAAGGTGTGAAGGATGGCCCGTGGGCCCCTAAGCCACCCCTCTGTGCATCTGTGTATTATGTGTCCCTTAAGATTTCTTGGAACAAAGATATTTCAACTAAGAGGAAAGTCTGGAAGGCACTGCTGTAGAGTACCATTCCTGTGCCAATAGCAAGAGTTAAGGGAAAAAGAAGAGAAAGAAAGAAAAAATGAACAAGGTTGTTAAGAATTATGTCTGCCATCTCTCCCCTTCCCTAATTTCATGTCTTTCTCTAAAATGGGTGTGTGCCTGGTGGGTAAGCATTCTGTATTTGGGCTCCTCTAGTTGTGACGTTTCATCATTTACATTCTTCTTCACTGCACGAGTTTCTGGTCTCCCACTCTGAGGTGGGTTGACAATTATTCCATCAGAAGAAAGTACTAAACTTTCAGTGTGTTGCCCATCCTCGGAAGTGTCTTACTAATGTAGTTCACTAGGAAATTAATTGGGAATTAAGAAATGGGATGACAAGCAATTTTTTTTAAAGATTTTATTTATTTATTTGACAGAGATCACAGTAGGCAGAGAGGCAGGCAAGAGAGAGAGGGGGTGGGGAAGCAGGCTCCCCATCCAGCAAAGAGCACAATGCGGGGCTTGATCCAGACCCTGAGATCATGACCTGAGCCAAAGGCAGAGGCTTAGCCCACTGAGCTACCCAGGTGCCCCCAATTTTGATGAAGATATTTAAGCAAAAGGTCCCTTTTTAGTTTCCCTAATATTTACATGCTTTCCATGGGGAATGAGCAGGCACTTGATGCTCTCAGCTCTCGGGAATCTCTGTGGTACCCAGGAAGATTAAAGAACATTTTTTTCTTATGAAGACAGCCCCTGCTGATGTACAGCTCATCTTTATTAAATTGGAAAAAAATCCAAAAAAACAGAAAAACCGTCTGCAGCTATTTCTCTCCCAGTTCTGTGTTTTTGCTGTGTCAAAGCATATGTCGTGCCCTCCTGCTCTTGCTGTGTCCCCTGTGGAGAAGCAGTCACCCTCAGGCACAATAAAAAAGCAGCATACCTGAGAAAAAGGTATCAGCACTGCTCATACATTCAGGCAAATCAATTAGTTAGATTTGGCGAGAATACCAAAATGGTTACTTGAACATTATATTGATATAAAAAAAAAAAATTGAAGGAGCTACTTAAGGAAAGTCAAAATATATAGTTGTTGGAGTATTTTCCCACATTACCCAGATGTACAAGATACGTAAACAGTTTTGATGAGGACCTCGTGAAGAATACATAATGAATCCTTGATTGAATCAAAATCATTTTAAACAGAAACATGTTTTTCAAAGGGCGAGCTTGAAGTTCAATTGTAATTCTATTTGAGCCTAGAGACTTAGTATTAAAAATGGGTTATGACCTGTTTTTTTTCTTCCCCCTCCCCCCAAAACATTTCCCTCCTCCCTACAAGCTCATCTAGGTAGAAGCAGATTATGTTTAAAAATCCATTATATTTTTTATTGGCTGGGACACTAATGGAGAGCTCCATGACGGCTCTATTTTACAAGCTGAATACTTTAATTAGGCTGGTTACTGATCAGTTGTTGGGATATCGATGGTGTCATTTATCAAAGAGCTGGGAAAGCAGATTTTTTTTTTTTTTTTTTTTTTTTGGTTCTTGTTGTTGAAGCACAAGGCTAGGTGAAGTAAGTCCTACCTCTCCTGCCTGCTGAGGCTCGGGCTTTAATTTAGGATTTGTTGGCCGAGTCTGGTTTGACTAACAGTACAGAGGCAGAGGGTAACACTACGTGTGGGAAAAGTGTTACAAGCCTCGACAAGAAGCTAAGAGACCTTCAGCAGCTGAAACATTTTAATTATTAAGAATGTATAAATTGAATGTTTTAAATATTTTGTTTAGCAGGATACTGAGTTTTTGTAAGTGAGAGGAAGGTATAATAAAATTATTCAGGCCAAATGCTTTGCTCTGAAGTAAAGAGCTTTGGCAATGGGATCTCTGTTTCTCTTTGCATCCTGCTCCTCTCACACATGGTCAAGGGCACACTGGTGAGATGGCGTCCATGTGACTTCCTTGAAATCTGTGAGAAAGACACATAACCTGAGCAAGAGCAGAACCCAGTTCTGTGTGTCTCCATCCTCTCGAACAGACACCTGGAGCTCTCCAGAACTGGCCCCTCTCAGCTCCCTCTTCACACCTCTGTAACATGGTTTGTGGGCATGTTACTCTGGATACAGCCATTTTGAGGACACTGTGAATTTGTTGGAAGGCTGCCCACAGCCAAACAGGAGGGAAAAACATCAAAAAGTAGGGGGGGAAGCTCAGGAGAACCCCTGTCTGACATTGTTACCGAGTTTGTTTTAGCTTCTGGCCAGCAGACCTGGTGTCCACAGCAGGATACACTCCTGGCGTTTGAGTGGCAAACCTGCTTAGGTTCTGACTTGTCCTAGAGCATATGCACTTAGTCGCTGAGGGAGAGGGAGAGGAACCAGCTGGTTGGCAGAAAAACACCCTTGGCGTGAACCGTTCTTCTTGTGTTGACACTGCCACAAGCTGTATTCCCAGATGGAAAAAATTTGAAAGAAGCCAGTTGTAAGTGGGGGGAAAAGAATGATAAAGTTAATCCTCTTTGGTGCTGGCTACGAGTCGTCCCAGTCCTTAGCATCACGTTGTCAGTATTTTTTGTATCCCACATTCGAAGATGTCTTAACTGATAGGGCCATTTTGATTTTCCAGTTGAGCGGGTATATGCAGTAGACTTTTGGGAGCTCATTCATAAACTGATCATTCTCCTACTTTGCTTTCATGGACCAAGTTTGAACATATTAAAACAAATGTAATTTTTTATTTTCATTCCTTAGGAGCCTGCAGAGTGCGGGGCATTTTCTAAGCCATGCTTTGAGAATTGTCAAAACACTATAACCACCTCCAGGAGAAATGATAACAGCTCATTGCATCCCTTCGGCACTTACAGTTCGCAGGACAAACAGAAAGGTAAGAGTCTGTCCATTTCCATCTGCTGCAAATGGCTGGAGAAAACACAAGACTATATATTTTTTTTAAAGGACAAAGGGAAGTTAATTAGACCAAGTGCAGGCTTTGTTCCTCTGAGTCATGAACACGGGGAGATGATGGGTGGGAGAGCTGACTCAGAAGTTGTGAAGCAGATTCCTGGCATCGCCTCCAGTTTAAGTGACAGTTTCTGTGTTTGCTGCCCCAAACACGGAGGATTATGTGTAAAACAAACCAAACGAAAACAAAATGGCAGCATGGAGAAACAAAATGGCAAACTGTTATTTTTTTTTAACAATCTTTCCATTATTGAAAGTTACCAAATGTAAATAACTATTAAACTTAAAAAAAAAAAGGTGCAGACCAGTATTAAACCGTAAGGCGGTCATTGCATGATTCACGGGTTCTAGGAAGAGTGTGGTAAATACCATGAATGAGACCATCCTGTAACAGTTGGAATGTTCTTATTATTCCCTCACTATGTTGTCTTTCCCTTATTTTCCGGTACTAGTAGAGCTCTGGATATAAAACATTTGGACTTTGTTTTTAAAAAATCATACTGTAGGTCACCAAGAAAAAAAATTTTTTTTATTTCCCTGAATGTCCTTTTTTAAAAAATAACTTTAAGTTTTTTGTATTGCAAAGGCAATACATATTCATTGCAGAAAATTTAGGGAAAAGCAATAAAAAGAAAATTTAATATTACTTATTCATCCTTCTAACTATCAAAGATACTAATCGATAACATTTTTACATCTGTATTTCAAATCTTTCCTTCATGCAAATATGCATATGTAAGATGAAGTGAAAATGAAATATATATAATGTTTAGGAAATTGCTCTTTTAATTAATAACACATTATGACCATCTCACTATGTCACTGAGGATTTTACATCATCACATTCAGTGGTTCCATAGTGAGCCTTTGAACACAGGTACTATTTATGTAATCTGTCCCTTTTTCACATTTAACATGTTACCTGAATTTAAACTACATGGAAACAAGTTCGAAACTCTGAGTTAATTCCATCAAAACAGGCTTGTACATCTCCAATTCCTTGAGAATTGTTTCATCAGAATGGACGTTGTCTTTTTCTCTGACTTCATCCATTTTAGTGGGAGTAGCAGCAACAGCTGTGACCGTTTATTTATTAAGTGTTTACTGTCTGTTAGGTTCTGTGTTAAGCAATTTACATGCACACTGGAAGTGGGTAATACTATTATCTTCGTCTTACAGATGAAGAAACAGAGAGTAAATAATTAACCCAAGACCACATACTTAATCCACGCAGAGCCTGGATTCAGCCCCTATCTCTCTGATTCAAGTTCATTCCCTAAACCACAGCATGGACCCTGTCTTACGTTGGTCCCTTGAAATTGTTGAAGTCCTTTCACCTGATACCAAAACTGTGATTAAAGGCTCACTTGACTTTGTGTCAGATAAAGAAATACTCTTGTCTTTTCTTGTCTTCTTTAGAAATTAAAATTTGTCTTGACAAAGCGAGATCTCTTTCCAAGACCTTAAATCACAGTAGCAGGAGAATCTGGGGAAGGAACAGCAAGTTTTCCACATACTAGACCAGCCTTCTCTCAACCATGCCCATATGATGATCAAGAACATTGCCATGTGTATTAAAATATCTAGGCTTTACATAATTTGATTGGCATTTTATTCTCAAGAAACGTGTGATACAGTGACAATTCAAGTTCAGGGTTTTATTCCTAATTATACCAGTGACATCCAAAGGAGTAGTGGGTACATTATCCCCTATCTTGTTTCATTTTTTTTATTAAAGATTTTATTTTTTAAGTAATTCTACACCCATTGTGGGGCTCAGATCCACAACCCTGAGAGCAAGAGTCAAATGCTCCACCAAGTATGCCAGCCAGATGCCCCTCATTTTTAATAACTATAAAATATTGATGCTGGAGTGATAATTATACAGACTATTTTTAGAGGACACTGAGATACTCAAGGAAATGGGACACTATCTCTAGAAGGGACAGGAGAGGCCAAAATTATGAAATTATAGAACTAGTTGAAGTGTGAGGATATATACAGGAAAAAACAATTCAAATAATAGAGTCCAGTCAAAGCACATGCTAAAAACAAAACGTCATAATACTTTGAAATGTCAATAGAATGTTCTGAGTTTGTATTTCCACTGATCAGCTACGTCCTTTGGGTATATGTGGCCCCAGACAACCACTGTGAGTCTCTAATCTGTTCTCTTTCTCTTGAGACTTACCTCCAGATAGAACAACTTTTTACACCAGTGAAAAACCATACAGGTCAGCTATCTGCAAGCTTCCTGCTTTACTTCCTTTCCTCATGTCAGTTTTCCAAAGTGACCAAAAAAAAAAAAAAAAAAAAATCCAGTTTTTTCCAAGCAGGGATTGCATCGAACATTATTTTTTTTAAAGCAGGAAAAATCTGTTGCTGTTATTTCCTTGTATATTGAAGAATTCCTTGTATATCCAAGAATTCGACCTATCAAGGCATTAGACTCATTAAATTTTAATCATAAGAGCAGTAGATGAAATTTTCTTACTTTTATGTAAGCCTATTCACTTAGAGATAAAAATATATATAATAGAATTTGTAAACAGGAGGCTGTAGAAGAACATCCTGATCACCATCTCGTTTTCATATTCAAAACATTTAAAATGTTGTGAACCATTGAGAGCTTTTGAGTTTCAGATGCAAACGAAGTAGCAAGAGGTTTCTCCTGAAACCTGAGTGTTGACTCAACACGACCAGGTTTTTTAAGGAGCCCCTTCAGAAAAGCAAGATTGAGTTGACAAAATGTAATGTCTAGTGAGGAAAGGAACTGTTACAGCCAAAACATTCAGTTCTTTTTTTCTTCCCTTTTTCCTTTCCTTTGTATATTTAAAAACCCAATGTTGATATGCGGGGTTCCATCTATTTTTGTAATAATAGTACATGCCACCCACAGTTCTTTGGTTTTTTTTTTATATATATACACACATACTCCTGTCAAGCTGTTCCATGGAAAAGGCATTTTTAGAACTAACGTTTGTAGAAATTGTAACACCAGAAAATTCACATTTGTGTTGGAGAATTGCTAGCAGTGCCTGCAGTAGAATGAGTGTGGTGCCCCAAGATGGCCAGGGGTCAGGATGGGGGCTGTGTCCCAAAGGTTTACTTATAAAATCCTATTAAGCATTTAAGTGTTAATAAAGAATACAAATTACCAACACTGTATTTTCTGAAGAATTTTGATGGTGGATCTCACCCCTGGCTACATAATGGTTAAGTAATAGTAATAAGCATCATTTGCCTCTGGTTTATTAGTTCTCTTTTCATTGCTCTCATCTCCCCCTTTTTTGCTCCACCCCTGCTTGCCCTCCGCCTTTCAGCTCAGCTGCACCCTAGCACCATGTGTAAGTCACCCATTGCCCTAAGTCTGCCCAGGCTCATCACCCAGGGAGGGCTCCTGTAGGACTTCCGTCCCCACCCCAAATCAAGCCCCTTTGGTTGTGTGTCCCATCTCACTGGATCCATGTTCCCTTGGATCCTTTGGGCAGACACATAATGTATAATTATTCCTAATGTGCCTTCTCTGGGGAACCAGCTCATGTCCACCCCTCTGTAGCACGTAAGACACTCCCTGTGGAGTGGTGATCAGAAATTGAATTATACTTTTCAATTTGCCTGATGTTTATTGGATGCCTCCATTGTGCAGAATACACCATCAGCGATTCAAAAAAGAATACAATTGCTGTGCTAGCCCTCAATAATAGGCTTTAACATTTTTATCAATTAAAACAAAAAATCTAAATCCGGAGTCATTAAAATTTATCTGTAAAAGGCCAGCTAGTAAGTATGTTAGGCTTTGCAGGCCAAGGGATCTCTGTCTCAGCTCTTCAGCTCTGCCGCCGTAATCCAAAAGCAGCCATGGACAGTGTGTAAATGAATGAGTGTAACTCAATGAAACTTTATGTATAAAACCAGATGGCGGGCTTGTTTTGGACCAGGGCCATAGCCTAGTGAGCCCTTGTCTTAAGTTGCAATCTCTTTCACTCTTCTTTTCTGATCTGGCCCTAGCAGGATAGAGTCTATAAAACAAGTAAGAAAAATAAAAAATGATTAAAATCAGGGTCATTGGGTCGTGAATGAAGCAGTTACTGGAGGGTGCGCTGTCAGTTTTCCCAGGCAAATATACAGGACGGCCATCAAGACTTAACCTTGTCCGTGTGGTGAAATCCAGAAATATTATTTTTTGGAGAAAGGAGTTCCACATTTTCGCACTGATAGAGGGTTAATAGAGATGTTTGGGCCATGAGAAAAACGATTCCTTATACCATTGTTTAAAAATGTACCAAGAACAAAGAATCAACAAAGAAGATATTTGCCTCTGTACCTATAGATACTTAAAAAATATTGTTCATGTGGATGAAATAAAAATTAAAGGTAACAGAGGCACCTGGGTGGCTCAGTCACTTAAGCACCTGACTCTTGATTTCAGGTCAGGTTGTGATCTTGGGGTCCTGGGATCGAGCCCCATGTCAGGCTCCCTGCTCAGCAAGGAGTCTGCTTGTCTCCCTCTCCCTCTGCCCTACCCCCCAGTGCACTTTCTCTCTCTCTCTCTTTCTCTCTCCCTAAAAAAATGTAGAAGTAACAATTGTAATAAAACTTGAAGAATCTGGGGAGGAGGAGGGAAAGGAGAGGGAGGGCAAGGAGGAGTTTCTCTGTAGTCCAGTAAGAAATAGGTCTAGATACATAGATGATAGATCAATAGCTCATTGCAGAAGCAGCATGTGAGAAATGTTATAAATGGAATAATTTTCCATAACGGTAATGGATAAACCCCAAATGTCAGTGGATAAAGACAGCAAAAGTATTTTTTTTATCTTAATCGTAGCCAATGAGGCGTGGTAGAAGGAGGATGGGCACTGTGCTCCATGCAGTGATGAAGGGACCTGGGCTCCTTCTGTCCTTCTGGGCCATTTTCTAGAGACTCCTCTACTCCTGCTTGCCGCTGGGTGATGGGATAAGTGGAGAGAATGTACCCTTTCGTAACCACTGACACTGGGGATGTCAATGTCCAGAGCAACTCACCTGCTATTGGCAAGAACAAATATAGGCACAAAGAAGGCTGGGAAATTGGGTCTGTATGTGCAGAAAGAAAGGAGGAACACAGAGTGAGCGCTGGTACTCTTCTGCCACGGCCCTAAAAATATTGAGGTGGATCTTGAGAGAAGGGTGGGACTTTGATGGATGCGAGTGGATTTTGCGGTTACGTAAGCAAACACACTGAGGCAGGAAAGCCCAGGCTGGTGGTTGGGGAACAGTAAGTAGTCCTGGGTAGCTAAGGGTGATAAGGAGCTGATGTTGCCTGCCGAGGCAGAGACCTTTATGCTCTAAGCTATTGTGTGCACCTGAAATGTTTCTGGGAGGCCAAGTTACATGATCACAGCTACATCACCAGTGTGAAAGACGGGCTAAGAAGTTGCGGGTAGAGAGATGACAGCCAGTGGGAATGTTGTCCCAGTATGTGCCTTTTCTCTAGTTTATGGTGTATTTTTCTGTTCTTTTTCTCTGGCTGCCTGACTGCTGCTATATTACCAAATCACTAGATTACTTGGGTGGGAGGCAGTGCAGGAGGACAGTATCGATTGCCTTTGCTTGCTGTGCTTCTGTACCTTGGTCACCCTGCCTCTCAGATCTCCTGCTTCCAGCCTCCAACCCAGGGATGTGTCAGCACTGCCAGAATTACCTCCATTTTCTACTAGTCCCTGGGGCAGAGCTTTGAGCAGGGTTCTCTATAGAACAACCAATGGGATGTATTTGTAGTCATATGTATTTAAAGTATAATAGACATTATATTGTACATCATATAATAATATATATTATAGTGTATAATATAAAATATATAACATATATGACATATACATAATAAGATATAATAACTCATATAATATAATGAGACTTATTGTAAGGAATTGGCTCACGTGAGAATGGAGCCAGGCAAGTCCCAACGTCTGCGAGATGAATGAGAAAAGCTAGAGACCAACCAGAGCCAACGGAGCAGTCCCACCCTGAGCGCTGACTCGAGACCCAGGAAGAGTCAATATATCTGTTTGAGTACAAGGGCAGGAAGAACCTAGTGTCTCAGTTTGAAGAGAGGCAGACAGGAAGAATTCTCTCCTACTCAGAGGAGGGTCAGCATTTTGGTTCTACTCAGGCCTTCAACAGATGGGATGAGGTTCACCCACATTATGGGGGGACAGTCTACTTTATTCTGTCTACTGTTTTTAATGCTAAGCTTACCCAAAAAGCACTGTCCTGGAAATACCCAGAATAATATATGATTCATTATCTGGGTAACCTGGGCTGAGTCAAGTTAACTGTAAAAGTAACCATCATACCTGGTGTGTGGACAAGTCAAGCGGCTTCTGTTACCAGCAGCATCTCATAGGGATAGACACTTTTCTCCTGTTCCAGCAATCAAGAACAAATAGGGTCCACATGTTACCAAATCTCTCACCGTAACAGATACACAGTAGAGTTTAGGCGGTATAGAAGGATAATCTTTTAGTTGCTTATTAGCGCTTTGCATTTCTAAATCTGTGTGAATATGCACAGTCTTCTATACTCCTTATATTCCTCTAATGAAGCTATTCTCAACCCCACCTTACAGATTTTAAAAACTGAGGCTCAGAGAAGTTAATAGTTGGGCCAAGTTCCCACAGCAGTGGGAGCCATGATGGAGACATGGTGGCCTCGCTACACGAACTCGACTCTCCCAGGCCACTCTCTCAGGCTTTTCATACATTCGTTAGTGCGGGTAATAAGGACAAGCTTTAGATGACATAATGTACATAATGCTTAGCACAGTGTCTGCTCTACGAAAGATCTCAACAAGCCCGCTCCTTATTGGTCGTAGTAAGTTTCAGGATACATGTCTATTTCTTCCAGAGTAGAATAGATTGAAAAAAATGAACACATTATGTAGGTGAGAAAACCAGGTCTGACCCTAGATTTTTGCTTCCAAGGCCTCAAACCCCCATCTTTCCACTGTAGCTCAGATGCAAAAAGAGTATTTTTACCCCTCTACCATCTAGAAATGGTGAGTAAATCTAAAGTATCTCATTTTTTAAGTACTTTTTGTCACCAAGGTGACGCCACAGTCACCACATAATCCAGCCTATTCGTGAGAGAGTCTTGTTTACAAAATCGTGAAGGCATGAAAGAGATGGCTTTGTTAATCTTCCGCAGAACACACGTCAGGAGCGACTGTCAGCCTTCCGTAGGTGGGAGAAGATATCTGAGATGCAGGATCCTGACTTGCCGTGGGTTGCTGGCAGGTCACCAGTGTAGAACCTATTAGTGGGCTCAGATTTCCTCATATAGGGCTGCATTGGCTCCCATACCAATCCTGAATCAGTTCTGTAGGAGGACTTATTGACTTCAGGTTGGTTTATGTGTTGGTGAAAATTACATCTGTGAGATGGACTGAAAGCAAACGGGCATCAACAGTTCCGCCTCCCACTGACCACAGCTTCATTGGTTCTTTGTTTTTTAGTGCTGTTGCTTCCCAGTGACGGGTGGGCAGATCCTGAGGTCCCGCCTTCACCACCACCACATCCCGTTCTGGAATTGGGCCTTGAAGATTACAGCCACAGGTATTGATAAAATGATAGATCGTAAAGGTTCCCCATTATGGTGTTTCTGGGAAAACCCCGCAGCCTGATTTTAACTCTATTTCTTTCCAGAATGGAAATCTCATAGCATCTATAAGTCCTTTTCAGTGAAAACTTCTGATAGCTAAAATTAATAGTTGAGAGTGTTCATGTTTTGCTTCCTGGAATTTAAGATTCATCATGTATTATAAAATATTTAAGAAAATGGTTGAACTTTCTTTTATCATGTTGAAAAACCAGAGAACTCAAAAGGTTCTATAGGAAGGAATAAAACAAAACTGAGAGGCTATAAAGCTTAGTTGTTGTTGTTGTTGTTGTTTTGTTTGTAATTGGCAAACCCTAAAGGTATTTTAAAATGTTCCAAGAAAGTTAATGGAATCTAAAAATTAAAGCAACACCATATATAATCTAAAATATTGAAAAGAGTGCCCAATATTATATCCACTGTGTAATAGAAACCAAAAAAATCAATAATTTTTAGAATCTCACAAGCATGAGAGAGAGAGATTTACTAAGTATACACACCATCTGACTAGTGGCATTCATAGATTTTGTTCTTCTGATGAGTTTTAAAAATCATTAACTTGTCCCTTTGCTATTTTCTGTATTTATTATGGCTGTTAAAAACTGTGTATTTTATTCCATTCTATGTCCCAGGATAATCCTGTGAAATTTTTCCATTTTTCCTGCAGCAATGCTGGTGTCATTCCTATTATGCTTTTTTATTGCAATCTGCTAAAAATAAAGCAACACAAAAAGCGTATAGCTAACTCTATTAGCTGAAAGCCTATCTATATTTAGCTCTCCCTGATTCCTACATTTTTGAAGTCAGCTATCTGACTCAAATACAATTTCACCAACTGGATGGATAATGACACTAATGTTCTAGATCAGTTTTCTAGGGGTTTCTTGAAAGAAAATGTGGACATATTTAATTTTGTCCATTCACTTCCATTGCCAGCCTCAAACCTGAATCAAAAATAGCAGTTTGTCAGCCATAACAAAATGCATTAAGAAAATAATTTCATTCATTCTATTTTACCGTTATCCTGTGTATACATGCAAAAGTGTTGGGATAATACAAGGATGAATCAGATATAAACCCAACTCTCAAGAAGATGGTAGGCCAGGGGGTAAAAATGACAACTAGCACACAGGGTACAAAGTGATATTTACCAGGAGGTATTGAGAAAATGCTCTGGACATCCAAGATGGAGTAGAATGCTTCCAGATAGAGGAATCAGGGGAAATGTTATGGGAAAAGTGATGTTTCAGCTAAACCACAAAGTATGAATTGGAGGTAGACATGAGAAAAGCCCAGGAAGGAGGGGAATTTCAGAGAGAGGGAAGGGTAGAAGGAACAGCGTGGCAGCTGGGAAAGGAAGTCGATTTGGGCAACTTGTATCATGGCTCACTGGTCAGATGCTGGAATGCAGAATGCAAAGATAAATACAGACTTCCTTCATTAGATGGTCAAACCTTGTGGTAGAGTTTCAGCAGAGAGCATGATAAGACCTGGGTTTTAGTCGTGTGCAACAGGCATTAGGGAGGTGGAGAAAGGTTAATGTCTGCTGGAAACCAGAGACTCTTTGGACATTTTCTAGGGCAGTAGCGGTGAAAGGTACTAAGGATGTGTTCTGGGGAGGGTGGGGAGAAGCTTTCAGATGAGAAACCTCTTCAGGGGAGAGAGGGCATCAGAGATATTGCAGAGATGGAGTTATCAGGAATTAGCAATGGCCTTTTTGGCTTCTTCAGTGCCTCCACAGATTTTGGGCGGCGGGGGGTGGGGGTGGGGGAGAGGGCGTGGCGGGAGGTGAGGATGACAGTATCAGTTTGAGTGAGTTCAGTTGTGGATAGGGAAAGCCATAAATAAGGACAGTCTGGGGACTGGCAAGAAAGGAGAGGGCTGGCAAGAGTGGAGAGAGGAACAGCATGGCCGGAGAGGAAGGGGCAGAGCCAAAGACATTTTTGAGAAGGAAGGAGCAAATGTAAAGCTTTGAGAGTCTTCCCCTTGAGATCTCATGACCTGTGCCATCCTGCAAGCTGTTGCGTTGCCTAGGTAACCAGCAGCAGCAGCGGGGGTGGGTCAGATATGTGGAACTTGGGGTGGAGGAAGGGTTGGAAGGGAGCCAGGAGGGTTGAGCAAGGGAAGCTGGCTGCCTGGCTTTAAAAAAAAAAAAAAAAGTAAAAGCCCTCTAAAAGGGAAAAGTGGTGCTTTAGGGATGTAGCCAGCCTGGTGAGACAGAAAACAACTAAACAACTCTTGCATGAGAAGTGAGACGCAAATGTGGTCGTACTTCATGCCCCTACCTTGAACCAAAATGACATCAGAATTTACTGAAGTTACTTGTAGTATTATGTCACCAATTATTGGACAGAAGTTTAGAATATATGTTTCTAAATGAAAAATAAATATAGAAGAAATATATTTCCTACTGTTATATCTCAGGGAGGGTTTAAGGCAAATTGGAAACAGAATATGTTGAATTCCCTATGTGTTCATATTTTTTCCTCTCCACTCGCTCTGGGCTCACTGGGTCCGTCTCTCCCCTCCCTCCCTTCCTTTCTGCATCTACTCTCACTCAGAGTAGCCAATTGCCAAAGCCTATGCATGGATGGACACCTGAGACTTCAGGGTTTTTTGGGTTTTGTGTTTTTTGTGTGTTTTTTTTTTCCCTACCTCTCAAAATCTTCTTCTCCTTCCTTTTGATTTCTGACAGTTGTCCTTGAACATTCATGGCTGGGTCTTACATGTCTTTCACATTCCTGATTTGTCACTGCATTCAGGACACTGGCATATGTTTCCTGCTACCTTTATTTATTCATTATGCAGCATAATTTGACATTGAGTATCATTTCTGTTTGATAGATTCCCTGGTTGTTCATGCTGAAAACGTGGCCTTTATCTAAAACGTGTCTTTGGCCTGCTGTCATCTTGTAGCTTCCCACAGCCTCCACGGTGGCCCACTCAGCCATGAGCACATGCTAACTTTCTTCAAAATTAAAACATGTCAGATTTTATAGTTAATCATTGTGTCACCCTTTCCCTCCAAAAATATCCAGTATGCCGTGTAAAATTACAAAGGGTCTTTCTAGTCTCACATGTCTAAGATATTTTCACACTAATTCAATACTACACTTCATTATTTAGATGTCCTGTATGAGTTCATGTAGCCAATGCGCACAGTGTGGGCTCTAACCCTATAATTTCTCATATTATACTTCCCTCTTAAAGATCAGCCTTATCTTGCCTTATCTCTTATTTTGTACCATGGCAAAATGGGCCCTTCTCTTAAAGGTTTCAAAACGTACATGTGGTCAAAGCAATGGCAACAGATGTGTAAATCACTATCACCAATTTAATGGGTATATTCAGGTATGTATAGTGTGTATACACCCACCCACACACACACACACACACACACACGAACATTTATTACATTCATTTTTAGAAAGCAGTTTTTAATTCTTTGATCAGCCTTCATTATATGTAAACATTTATACCAAAAAAATATACTCTATTTAGAGAGATCCTTACCTGCTGTAACATGGAGGGCTTTGCCACTTAGATTTTCTGTTTTAAATGGGGATGGGAATTGTTGTTTCCCAAGAGTCTCAAAAAACTTGAGTTCTTGTATTTAATTTGTCAATTAATGCCTAGTTTGGTAAAATAAGACAGTAATTTGGGTTAACCAATGTGTTCCTCAGTTGGGTAGGTTCCCATAGTCTCCCTTGAGCAGAGCTCTTTAACTGCAGTACAACCAAAGTTTTAATGAGGAATATTCTTGTTGGTCCTAAACCACTTCCCCAGTGGCTTTCAGTGTAACACGGGGCATCTGTTTGGGTTAACTCTTTGCTTTCCTTTTGTTTCATGGTGTGTAGCACTGAAGCACAAAGCTAAGCTAAAATGCAAGCAGTGTCAGAGGGGGGAGTGACTCTGCCCAAAAAGGGAATGTTTTGATGACCTTGGAGTCAGCAGCAGCAGCACCTGTGCCACAGGCTGGCCGCCATTTTAGCTAAAGCTTCGGTGGCTCTGAGAAAGGCAATATAAAGAAACCACAGTCTCTGGTCTTCACTTTGCCACTGGCCAGCTGTGTGACCTTGGAACAGCAGCCTCCTCTTTGGGCCCCAGTGTCTTATCTACAAGATGAAAAGTTGGATAAGGTGACCTTTAATGCCTTCCGGCTCTTAAATTCTCGGATCCTATGAAGGCCAGGAGGCCCTCTGACACTAAAACCACATCATCGCAAGAGATCAAAGGGTGTGAAACTAAGTGCAAATAAAGGTTGAATAACACATTTAAAGGCAAGTCCTTCCAAAACATCAAGGCTCAGGGGGAAGCTCGTGTTCACAGTTGCCTCTCAGAATTCTTCTTTAAAATGGGCCAAAACAATCAGAGCGTTGCTATTAGGCCAGGCCTGTTGTGAGTTTTGCTCACAATTGGTGTACTTTGTCATCACTCCCTACCACATCTAATTTACTTCATATATGGCACTGGTTTTAGCTATTGAAAATATAAGCCAGATACCTAGGAGGAAGCCCTACCACCCCCCCAAAAAAGTTTATAATGAGTAGATTTGAACTTCTTGAGAAATTTTCATGAAACCATGTATAAGTTCTTCACTGAAGAGTGTCTCAGGACCTCTCTAACGTACAGAAATAAAGAAGAGATTTAATAGCTCCCTTTTATTGAGCTGTCACTGTGTTCTAGGCACTACTGTGAGCATATACCATAACTTCCTTTCGTACAACTTTATACAACCTAACACTGTCTTGTGGGGACAAGTACCACATTGCTCTCTAGCCCAGGCTCCCAGTCATTGCCGCACATTACCCTTAGCTCTACTCGTGCTGAGCATAGCAGAAGACATAAACCTGTAGGAGTCACTATGTTGTATACCTGAAACTAATAGAACATTGCATGTCAGCCTTATCGCAGTTTCAAATAAATGAATAATATTTGTTAAAGAGAAAGGAAAAAATTTTAAAATAAATAGAAGGAGGGAAGGGTTCTTAGTCCCAGGTCTACCGAGACCCTGACAAAAAAGAGAAAGAGAAGAGACTGGAAAAAATTATATAGATGACTTGAAAAGCAAAAATTGATAGTCTATATATTTACCTGCTTAGTTTTTTCCTAAATGCATCTAATGGCATTTACTCTGTGCCACAATCTATTCCCAACTTTATAAGTCTTTTTATTTTTACTTTACAAATTCATTTTGTCTCTTAAGAACCCCATGAAGTAAGAAGTGGAGTTAGACCCATTTCATGCATCAGAAAATGGACACACAGAGAGGTTCAGTAACGTGCGTGGGTCCCACAGCTAGTCAGGGACAGAGCCAGGATGGAGAACTAAACAGCGAGGCTCTGACATCTGGGCTCCCAAGCTCTGTCCTCGGCTGCAGATCCTGGGTACTTCCTTAAGCCCCACCATGTTACAGAAACGGAGATTCATTTACTCAGCAGTGTTATGATTGCTGCATTTTAATTTTAATATCACTGTAAGGCAATATTGAATGTGCAGAATTAATGAGTTTTAAGAAAAGATGAAACTTATTTTGGTATATTTGCTTAAGAAATGGAGATCCCCTGTACATTTTCAAAGGGTTCTCATTCATCGTAGTTCATTTTTTTTTATGGTTGTTTTAGTGTTGACCATGTGAAATCCCAACTGTTCGAAAACCTCAACCTGAGTCCTTTGAGATTTACCAGAAATTCCTGTATTTAAAACTAGAATAAAGTTATGCTAAAATGAGTCCCCATATTAACTTTCTCAATATATGAGAATACGAGGGGAGAAAGCAGCTGTAATTTGATTTATGAAATTTAAAAATATGATTTATTTCTAGACCAAGAAATCAGGCATTGCCTGCAATTCCCTTGTATAATCCCCTCCATCTTCAAGTCAAATAAATAAAATATTTAGCAGAAATAGAATTCTCTGAGATTGACTGCAAGTACTGGGAAGCCCATTAACAGACATTTAATGTATCTGGTGCTTTTTTTGTTCTTTCCTTTTCGTGTTATGAATGAGTGGACTATTTGCTCAGTATGGACATTAGTTTTAGGAAATGGGCCTAAATAAAGTCAGAAACAAGCCACCACAGCCAGCAGTCTTTCCGCAAGATGGTCTTCTCTAAAGGACCCAAGCTTTCACTTGTTCTTAAAGGAAGGACATGCTTAGCCCTCAGAGATCTCCTAACCCTGCTTCCAGGCTCTGCGAATCTGCTGACCTCCTTTGAAATGCCAGTTCCTTCCAGGCCTGGCTTCCCCATTTGAAGTTATATATGGTACAGCAGGATCCCAATTAGCAGAAACCAGTGAAGAGGAAAACATGATATTAGCCAGAGAATATTTTATTTAAATTGTAGAGTGTGATAAAATACAGAAAAATAGAGTCGCTCCATCTCATAAAAGCCACCCAAGATTCCAGAATCGGTTGAAAAGACACGGTTGGGAGCTGGAGAGGGGAGGAGGAGGGGCTGGGTTCAAAATGGGAACGGCTTCCTTTACCAAAAGAAAAAAAAGATTTTTTTCTTTTTTTTAATTCTTAATCGAAGGACAGCATATGGCTTCTTTCCACAGCTCTGGGGTAGATTCGGCGGCGTATTTTCCAGATCAGCACATCCATTTCAGATCTGTGACACCGGCCAGGCAGCCCGAGTCAATGAATCTGAAAGCCTCAAAGAGCATGGACCTTGGTAAGTGAGGGCGAGTGACGCCCAGGTGGGAGCTCCAGCCTCCACCGTCTGTCTTCCTGAATTTCCTCCCTTTGTTTCCTCAGCTCCAGCCTGGAGGAGGGGACACTGGTCATCCCATCTTCCTGTCTCCATTCACACTTTTAATTGTAATTACCCCTTTATAAAAGAGAGGTAAATGACATTTTTATAAGGTCGCCCATATAAGGTCAGAAAAATAGGGTCATTCCTTCGGGATGATTGGGATGCCATCAGCATCGGTAACTCACGGGCCTTCGTGTTTGCACGCTCACTTCTGCCAGTGACTTTGCGGTTCTCGTGTATGTCCCTGCTGCGGGACCTGGGAAGATAATATGGTTAAATGAGTCCTCTTCCACGGGGTTTCCCATCTCTATGTTCAGTGGATAGAGATGGCAGCAGTGGGGAAGATCTCTCTCTTTAAATGCCCATCTCCAGATCCTGTTAACACTGGAGGGGAGAGGGGTCCTGGACGTTGCCAGATGGAGGGTGTCGAGGTACCCTGGGTCCATGCCTGAACAACCTCATTGAGGTCCTGAGCTCTGCGGGGAATTTCTGGGTGACTGTTGGCTGCTAGGGCAGAGTGAGTGTCCCTGGAAACGGTGTCCTCCAGGTCCTAGGATGTGGGACCCCAGAAGACATCTCAGACACCCAAGCACATCTCTGTGTTCTCAGGGGCTGTTGGAGAGAGAGGACTGTGAGAGGGCTGCTAGCGCAAAATAAAGCCTCAGCAATTATCCATTGCTGCTGGGTGCTCATAGGCCGTGTTTTACAAATGTTTTCTCTTGAGACGTGTTGCATATTTCACTAGTTAGCAGCAAGAATATAGAATAATCAAAACCACATGCTCCACAAAACAATCTGATAAGTAGTACTTTCTCTTACTCATTTACGGGAGTTCAGAAAAATGTTCAATCATGATGAAACAAGAGAAATTGATTCTAGTTTCTATAAATTAACTAGAGCGCTAGAATACATTTGCTCCGGTCACCTATAGCGAGAGAGGGATGGAAAGCCTAAACACAGGTCAGAAAAGGGGATTTTTCTCCAGCGTGAACCTTTACAAACCAAAGGAATCATGTGGATGTTGACCTAGGTAATTACTAAAAATTTGAGGAGCAACTGATTTTATAAAGTGCTTGATAAACATCCATCTTCCCAATTACTCTACGAAGTAAATGAATACATAAAAATCTCTTTTAATTTGGGGCAAGTTTATATTACTATTTTTCTAGTTTAATTAAAACAAAAAAGTGACCAGCAGTACGATTCCAAAGAAATCTCTCTGGGGGGCGGGGGTAAAGGCGCCCATTTTAAGAAAGAAAAACTATTATCAAATCTGTAAAAATAAAACCTAAGCTGTATCCAGAAACAGTATTTCGATTTATATTTTTTGTTACTGGAAACTTTGTTTTTGAGAAGTTTTCTTTTTTTATATTGAAATAGCCCTTCCAAAATATGTGTAGCTGGCAGTCACTCATTGCGTTCTATTGGACTTCTACCATAAACAACAATAGTAATGTTTGTTCAGTTTACCTCAGTTTACCTCACTGGGTAGATGTCGCAAGCTGTTTTCTTTAGGACACAGGTGCCAAAGCTGTGGCTTAAATGTACCAGACAGCAGAAGTGGCAAAACACAATAAACATTTTATACACCACCAAATTTTGATCTCTTCCAGGAAATGCCAGCATAAAGCTAACAGGCTGGCAGAGGACAACATTCTAGAGCCGTTCAGAACCCTGTCCCCAAAACAATTGAGGGAGCTCAATAAACACGTTGATTTTCTTTGCACAGAAGCTCAGATGATACCAGATGGTAAACATTTGGAAGTGTCTTTCCTGTTTGGTTAGGTGAAACGATTACTGTTAAGTTGTTTTATTTTCTATAAATAGCGGTGGGCCAACCTAAGGAATTATTATATTGACTAAAAAGGGTGGTGGCTAGGCTTATAAGGATAGCAAGGTCAGGATCCAATCTTCAAAAAGTAAAAAGAATCAATCATCCATCCATCCATCTATTGATAGGTATTTCGGCCAAATGTCAAAGTAATGTTTTTGACTACTTGGGGGCCTGGAAAAATAGCGGTTTCCTATGGTTCAAAATTTAAAAAGGTAAAATATTTTGTTTATCTAGCCATTTATGTTGGATAGTTCTCCTTTCCAAAGTCTGCAGGAGTCTTGGAAGGCTAACTGCCCCATTAGTACCTTTGTTTTTGTTTCAATTTTTTGCGAGTCTAGGCTAGCATTTTCACTTGCATATTATGTTCAAATTATTTTATAAGTGAGTGAGTAACATTTGCTTGATTGCACTTAAGTTTCAAAAGATAGACAGCTCTTGTGAGAAAAAAAAGTGTTCTCATCGCCAGATACAATCATGACTTAAAAGGGATGCCCGGGTGGCTCAGTCGGTTAAGTGCCTGCCTTTGGCTGGGGTCATAATCCCAGGGTCCTGGATCAAGTCCCACATCGGGCTCCCTGCTCCACAGGGAGTCTGCTTCTCCCTCTCCCTCTGCCCCTCCCCACTACTCATACCCTTTCTCTGTCTCTCTCAAATTAATGCATAAAATCTT